TATAGAAATGAAGAAAAAAGACTTTACATGTGTCACAAAATATCTATTTACATAACACAGTTTAGTAACAAAATACTAAATATACAATTTCAATTGCACATACATGTATATAACTCACATAACAAACATTTTAACTATGTCAAATAAAGCATCCTATAAATGTGGCACATTTAATGTCAAGGAGGAAAAAACAGAAGCATCTTGTCTCTCATATATATATACAAAATAATCACAGGCAAAATATACATCATGAAAAAAATGATAATGTAACAATGTGAAGGGGAATAATATAACAAAAAACAAGCTTTTAAAATGGAGATAAATTCTGAAATATATCGCAGAGACCTGTTATTATCTATTCTAATGAGAAACTACTTAATTTGATGATTATCCTACTTCCCTAAACACACCACCCACAACGCCCACCCTCCCAGAGAAAAAAATGTTATTTGAAAAATTATTTTTAAATATGTTATCTTTAAAGTAAAAATAAAAAGCAAAAATATTTATTCATAACATTTCCAATGTTGTTTTTTTTTTGATACCTGGGTGAATAAAGACATTTCAATTTGAAAGTGACAAAAGCTTACCAGTACTTGAACCACTCGATCAAGTCCATTTTCTAGATTAACCATTATGGAGGCGGGAACCATGATTCCCTGAGTTACTATGGTGATACAGTTACCACTAGGCCACTTCTCATAGTAAGTATACTTTATAATAACAAACAAGAGGGCCATGATGGCCCTGAGGTCGCTCACCTGTATATAGGCCCCCCGCCCCCGGGCCAATTTTTACCCAAGGGCTTTTATTTGTTTATTTGAACAGACTTGGTAGACACCCATAAGAAGATGTTTCATGCTAAACATCTAAGTTCTAGCTCATTGGCATTTTTAAAAGAAGATTTTTAAAGTTTATACTATACACATATAGTTAAAAACAATGTCACCCCTGGGGCAGGGCCAGTTTTGACCCCCGGGCGTTTATTTTAACAAACTTTGTAGATATTTACTTAAAGATGTTTCATGCTTAATATCTAAACTCTAGCTATTTGGGTTTTTCCAAAGAAGATTTTTAAGTTTTTACTATATACATAAAGGGAAAAACATGACCCCCTGGGGCGGGGCCAGTTTTGACCCCAGGGCTTTTATTTGAACATACTTGGTAGACACCCATTAGAACATGTTTCATGCTAAATATCTTAGCTCTAGCTCTTTGAGTTCTTTAAAAGAAGATTTTTTAAGTTTTTACTATATGCATATAGGGAAAATCAATGACCCCCTGGGGCGGGGCCAATTTTGACCCCAGAGCTTTTATTTGAACAAACTTGGTAGACACTCATTAGAAGATGTTTCATGCTAAATATCTTAGCTCTAGCTCTTTGGGTTCTTTAAAAGAAGATTTTTTAAGTTTTTACTATATGCATATAGGGAAAATCTATGACCCCCTGGGGCAGGGCCAATTTTGACCCCAGAGCTTTTATTTGAACAAACTTGGTAGACATTCACTAGAAGATGTTTCATGCCAAATATCTAAGCTCTAGCTCTTATGGTTCTTTAAAAGAAGATTTTTTAAGTTTTTACCATATGCATATAAGGAAAATCAATGACCCCCGGGGCGGGGCCAATTTTGACCCCAGGGCTTTAATTTGAACAAACTTGGTAGACACTCACTAGAAGATGTTTCATGCTTAATATCTTAGCTCTAGCTCTTTGGGTTCTTTAAAAGAAAATTTTTTAAGTTTTTACTATATGCATATAGGGAAAATCTATGGCCCCCTGGGGCGGGGTCAATTTTGACCCCAGGGCTTTTATTTGAACAAACTTGGTAGACATTCACTAGAAGATGTTTCATGCCAAATATCTAAGCTCTAGCTCTTATGGTTCTTTAAAAGAAGATTTTTTAAGTTTTTACTATATGCATATAGGGAAAATCAATGACCCCCGGGGCGGGGCCAATTTTGACCCCAGGGCTTTAATTTGAACAAACTTGGTAGACACTCACTAGAAGATGTTTCATGCTTAATATCTTAGCTCTAGCTCTTTGGGTTCTTTAAAAGAAGATTTTTTAAGTTTTTACTATATGCATATAGGGAAAATCAATGACCCCCTGGGTCGGGGCCAATTTTGACCCCAGGGCTTTTATTTGAACAAACTTGGTAGACATTCACTAGAAGATGTTTCATGCCAAATATCTAAGCTCTAGCTCTATGGGTTCTTTAAAAGAAGATTTTTTAAGTTTTTACTATATGCATATAGGGAAAATCAATGACCCCCCGGGGCGGGCCAATTTTGACCCCAGGGCTTTTATTTGAACAAACTTGGTAGACACTCACTAGAAGATGTTTCATGCCAAATATCTAAGCTCTAGCTCTTATGGTTCTTTAAAAAAAGATATTTAAAGTTTTTTCTTTTGGTTGCCATGGCAACCAGAGTTCTGCATGGAATTAAATTCTTTGAACAATTTTTAAAGGTGACCACCAAAGGAACATTCCTGTGAAGTTTGGATGAAATTGGCTCAGTGGTTTATGAGGAGATGTCATTTAAAGCAAAAGTTTACGGACGGACGGACGGACGACGGACGGACGGACGCCGGACGAAAAGCGATCACAAAAGCTCACCCTGTCACTTTGTGACAGGTGAGCTAAAAAGTTCAAAAGTTATAATAAGAAAAAAATTATTAGGACTCTACAAAGGAAACAAAAAGGAAAATGCTGAAATGTCATATTGCTGTTTACGAGACAATATTTGCATTGAAATAACAATGATATGTAAAAATATAAAAGATTCTGAATTTATGTTATTCAATTTCATCTTAATTTTATCTGAATAAATCAAAATGTTACCAATTTTTGCACGGATAGTTGATATTAGTGTTAAAAGAATAAAGGTGAAAGCACTGTTCACTGTCATTTTCTTTTTCTTTTTTTTTAATATTTAAAATCTCTTCAATTTTAATCATTGTATACTGTAATTATGAATAACCCTAGCTTAATCTTTTTTTAATCAAATTAATTTTTTCCAGTGAGAAACAAGTAAATGTTAAAATTGCACTTTAATATTCCAGAGAAAGTGAAATTTTATTATACCCACATGGTCTTGATATACATGTACAAAAAAGTTAATGATGGTTAGGTAGATGAAATTCTTTTAAATAAATTAAAGGCACATTATGCCTCAGAAACGAATAACATTTTCCATCTTAAGAAAGGGAAACGTAAGTTTTAAAGTGTTACAATAATGATTTTAGAGTATGTTTGATAATTATCACCATTTTGGAATCTATAATACGACATCAAAAATAAAAGATTTCGTTTTGAGATATAAAATTTAAAGCATTTCTGAGGCACAATGGGTCTTTAAACAAATAAGAGAATGTAATTTCTGGGGCATAATGGGCCTTTAAACAAATATGAAAGTGTAATTTCTGGGGCATAATGGGCCTTTCAACAAATATGATAATGTAATTTCTGGGGCATAACATGCCTTTAAACAAATATGGAAATGTAATTTCTGGGGCATAATGGGCCTTTAAACAAAAATGAGATTGTAATATAGACTATCAAGATTTGTTCAGTCACTCCTGTATTATATCACAACTACACAGCTTTCTATATACAAATCTTACATCCATCCTTCCTAGAACATTCCCCTCCCATATCTTTAAAAAGATATTATCCAGAACTCAGCAAAATTAATGGATATAAACAAAACTTTAACAGTCATAGCATTACCATTACTAATCACAATACATTAATCAATGCATTGCACTACTTTAATATTAATATACATGTACATTTACTGAATTGTAATTGAAAAAAAAAATTTGTGCCACTGGACAATGTAGGAAAAAATTTTGTACATCCTCTGATCTTTACAAAATCTTAATAATACTTTCAGTATCTATCACATACTTGGTCTTCCTAACTTTTACTTCTTGTAACTGTGACATTAGGTAGTAAATTTCTTCAACAAATAATCAAATGAACACTTGTCCTGTTACCTATATCATTTTATATTATTTACCTTCTAAATTACTATTTTTGACGGACTTATAGATTCACAATTTTGTTCGCAGTCATTAAAATTTGTTTTAAGAAATCCTTTTGAAAATCAAGAGCAAATTTCTTATTAACAAAATCTGAGAACTACCTTTTTTTCCTTTGTCACAAAAATGAAAACTTGAAATAAAAAATTTTAATTTGGAACTTAGGCCCCCAAAAAAAACCATTTTTCCCAATAAAAAAAATGGTTCCCTAAAAGAGAAAAAATCCAAATCCCCTTTCCCTTTTTTTGGGAACTTGGTATTCACACACAAAAATACCCAATAAAATTTATATCACCAATATACTGGATTAAAAAACACTCCCTGTATAACTTAAAAAATACAAACTTACTGAGCTTTAGGACATGAAACTAGGTACAAAGGTTAGTAAATATATATTTGTAAACATGACTGACAAATAAACTTCTGTCATTGGTCAATTTCAAATTAGAAACAACCAATCACAAGACAGATATTATAAACTGTGTCCACAAATTGACATTTCGTGACCTTTGACCCTGTTCTTGGGTATGAGCAATAAGGTAAAATAAGTATGAATATGAGTATGAATATGAGTATGAAAATAAGTATGAATGCATTGATAAAGTTCAGGTGGTCAGTGCAGATTAAATAAAGAAAATGCATAAACAGTGAGGAAAATATGGGAAAATACGTAAGAAAATGCAAGCTAGAATATCTAACAGTTATCAGTTCTTTTTCCAGCTATTTTGGGAAAAAGGCATAAAATCGGAAAAAATTATTCAAATTCTGGGAAATTTGTGAAAAGTTGAAAAACTACCTAATACTTGACTTCAAAATGTGTATAGTACAAATTTTCATATATAAATGAAAATGTAAAAAAAATACTGGAGTCAAAAGTGTTGGAATACTGGTTTCAATGCTGAAATACATTTTCAAGACATAGAAAAAAAATCCTCTCTTTTTATCATTTTGTGTGTGTGTGTGTGTTTCATGTCGCACCAACACAGTATAGGTCTTAATGGCACCATTCCAGCTTAAGTAGTGGAAGACCTCGGGTGTCATTCCGTGCATTATTTCAGGTACAAATGGGCACCTGAGAAGAACCACAGACGTTTCGTAAGCTAAATGAATAGCTTTCTTACAGAAAAGAATCATAAGACGCTTGTGTTGCATGAACCTATAGCAGTGTTAGAGAAGTGGTTTAAAATCAACAACCTTAACCACTCCACTATGGACACCCCGCAGAAAAACTCCTACACATTTGAAAAATTCAAAAATCTGGAGAAAGAAAGATCTGTTTTTTTTAAATGATAATATCCATGAAAGGAACTTAATGCATTTCATAATGATTCCAACAGTTTTCAAGAGTTTACCTGGCTTAATGCCCTAGAATGCTTTCAAAGATGTACTAGATGAACATACTTTTTACGCATGACTAATTTATGAGTTAATTTTTAAAAAGTATTACTTATGTATGAATCTATGGCATGCACTGATAAAAATCTGAGCTCCTTTTACCTTTAGTGAGCTCTACGTCCAAAACACTTTTGTATTTTGTGAGCTCTATGTCCAAAACACTTTTGTATTTTAAATTATCTTAAAAAATGTCCATTTTTAACTTTTTTTATCAAAAAATCTGAACTGAAATTTTTCTGTAAGACGTTTTTTTGGAAGTAAGATTCAACATACTACCTTTAACATTAGATTATACAAATTTAAATTCAAAATGTCCAGTGAATTAAGAAAGAGATCATGAACTCATATCATGGGATGTTCACCACCACATATGAAATTCATTATTGCCATTCTTTACAATGATCTATTTTATACAGGCACTTAAAATACTCATTTGCATTGCTATTTGCAAGAAAATAAAAATAAACTGATGCCAGCAAAGAACAAAAATAACTGCAGGGCTGTAATCAATAAATAAACCTGAAACATAACATGGAAATGCCCTAAATTAAAATTTCATGCTCTTTTTATTTTGCATCCATGGCATTTTCAATATTCAAAATAATCATCGCTTGTAATTAATTATTAGCTTTCCTTTAAAAATGCTGGACAGCTGTTTTTACAACCAACATTATTTTTCTACACATGTACACACAATTTTTCATATTTAGAGGAATTTCCCAGCAAAAAAAATCAAAATGTAATTTATCAAAGTATAATGAAAATGTAATTTAATAATCACCGCAGGAAAATGAGAAAAAATATCTCAACATTAAGGTTATTGCTCTGCCTGCCTCCAGACAATAAACAAAGTTTCAAAAACTGAACAAGAGAAAATAGTATTTAGAATATATATTTACAATCCATATAACTGTTTACAGATTTGTTTACAGGTTATTTGTAAAATATAACTAAAATTTATTATGATTAATAAATTTTATCAACATATTTACCCCATTACTTTTAGTTCACTGGCTATTTTGCATATCATCACCTAAGTGCAGTAATAGTTTAACTCCTTACCTAATTTAATAGGAGTTAACCTGTTACTGCACTAAGTTTATAATATTTTGATATATTTCATGCAATTAATGCAGATTCTATTGTGTCTGCTGCTTTAATTATTGTAATAAATTCAAATATCCATTATTTCTTTCATTTAGAAAAACAGTTTCTCATAAAATTTGGCATTTATCTGGAGGCATGTGGCTTTAAAAATATTCAACAAAATAACATCTTTCACAGATTTTTGTAAGTGACACAAAATGAAGAATGGTTCTATCCTTTGTTTGCACTGACCCCTCAAAAATAAAGAAAAACAAGCAAATGTCTTTCTCGGTCACACTTTCTGTATAGTTAGTGACAGTCCTTTTTTTCTTTATCATTACGACAAATAATTTAAAGAAAAGACAACAACAGATTCAACATTACTTGAAACGCTCAATTATAAATAAATACATGAACATAAATCATTGATTAATTGTTTTGTAAAGCATTTTCCTATATAATAGAATGCACCACATCATAGACACCAAAATTTTGAAGAAACCAAAAATACAAACTATGTATGATAAGGTTTCCATAGTCTTTGGACACAACCAGGAGACAGATATAGTTTAGCTCAAGAAGTAACATAGATTGTAGTTTTGCCTTTGAACTTAAACTGACGACGTTAACACAGAAAGCATGACCGAGAAAGATTATCAACAAAAGTGAATATTTTCTCCACTAAAGTAGCTTGTGGAGAGAGATATACACACAATAATATATTTCATGATTCTTTGGTAACATGTTGATTCACAAAATCAGAAGAAAAAAAATAACAAAAAAATAAATGAAGAAAAAAAACGGGGGAAAAACTTAATATTACATTTTTTCTTTCATGCTTAGTGAAATGCTGCTGCTCTCACTCCCTCTACGTAGAGATTTCGACCCCATACTTGTCACTGATGCTCCTTCCCGACTTGATTTACGAGTCATTAATGATTGACTTTCCAATAAGTTCAAATCATCGTCAAAAGAATGTACACTATCAATGCTACCAGATCTGGCAAGACACGGCTCCTCTTCCGGACTTAGTTCACTGTTTCTGTTATGTTCAACAATAGCACGTCCGGCGCACTCAACGTGACACTGTGCAACCGGACTCGATTGAAGATCCAAGCTTCCGTCACTGCTATAGACTGACTCTTGAAACTGACTGCTACCCCCGTCACAGTATCTAACAGGGTGTTGGTAAAGCACTATTTTAACACCACCAACGGCCCCCGGCTCCTCGGAATTTGACAGGTGTTCAGTGTCGTCTGCTGCACCCGTTGAACTCATTAGCCCACTTTCAGCATCCTGCGGTACACTCTCCTGACTGTCATTCAGCTATGAAATATCAACATTAAAATTCAGTTAAAATGACATATTGATCTTATACTTCATCCAATGATAAATGAGTGGCAGTATTGAGCAGGGCCGAGTAGTTTTTGCATAAGACAAGTTATCTAAATAAAGGATTGCACTAGTAATCTAAGGATTGGGTTCAAATACCGTCAGTTTGTTTCTGAGAGCAAGAAACTTTACAATCACTGCTTAGTACTAGTTGCTTCTAGTGCAACTTTTGGGTTTGAGAGTGTTTCAATAAGCTTATAGCTTCTAACACAATCAATCTAAAGTAAATTAGTATAAACTACATGATAAATCCCACTCATGTACATGTAACCATTTGGAAACTCTGTTAATAGCCATTATGAGAGAGGCTAACCTGCATGTGTGATAAAATGTTACTAAGTTTTCTAATTATCTTTTTTTTATGTAATAACAGCCATCATATAGCTTTATGTATTTAAACATCCTAGCTTTCTCTCATTAAACATTTGATGTAGCTCTGCATTCTAAAATTTTAATT